CAGGCTTTCATATTGGGCTATCGTTTCTGGGGCGCTTTTACATTGAGAGCAGCAATGGCTGCGCCAAGGACTACCTGCGCGTCCAGCAGCGCGGCGATAATGTAGGCGTGGCGGCGGACGCGGTCGTTGGCAACTGGACGGATCTGCAGACGCTGTGCGGCCGCAATCCGCCGGACTTTATCAACTCGACCAGCTCGTCGATGCGACTGATCTTCCGCTCTGACGGCGCCATCACGGGCGATGGCTTCACAGCCCGCTTTGAGCGCAACTGTGGCGGCATCCTGGCAGCCACCGCCGAGCCACAGGTACTCAGCAGTCCCGGCTATCCCAAGGGCTATGCCAAGAATCTCTATTGCAACTACACGTTCCGGCCGCTCGAGGCGAATGCGCCGGGCGTGATAGTGAGCTTTCTTGATTTCGATCTGGAGCGCTCGCCGATGAATATGTGTCTGTTCGATAACGTGACGGTGACCACCAGGGACAATGGCGACCGGAACCATGAGTCGATGCTGTGCGGCGTCAAGCAGCAGCACGCCTATCGCGCCCAGCGCTCCATCAGCATGCTGCTGCGCTCGGACAGCTCATTCAGCGGACGTGGCTTCCAGCTGGAGTACAGTACTCGGCTGTGCGGCGGTGTCATTAGCACCTCGCAGATGGTGGAGTCGCCGCGCCAACACCAGGATAACCAAATGCCGCACAACAGCGACTGCTACTGGAACCTGACGGCGCCCGAGGGCCACAAGTTCACCATCAAGTTCGAGCTGCTGGACTTTGAGGCCGGCAATCAGCAGTGCAGCTACGATGGCGTGGAGGTCTTCGCCAGTCCCGTGCCGGATGAGAAACAGCGCATGGCCCGCTTCTGCGGCCGTCTGACCGATAATCTGCCTACGCTCCATATATCCAACAATCGGGCGCTGATCCATAGCTACTCCGATGAGCGGGATCCGTCGCGCGGCTTCCGGGCGCTGGTGCGGCTCATGGCCAACTGTGATGAGCGCATCTTTTTGGGCGAGAATAATGCTAGCTATACGTTCAACAAGTTTGTCGGCTCCTATGCGAATGATTTGGACTGTAGTTTTGTGTTCCAGGCGAGCGTTGGGTATCAGATAAGCGTCGAGTTTCGCAGCTTCCACGTGGAGGCGACAAACAGCTGCACCGCCGACTATTTGGAGTTGCGCGACGGCGCCGGACCCTTTGCCGATGAAATTGGCAGATTCTGTGGCCAAGATTTGCCACCCAAGCTCAGCGCCTCGCGCCATGTTCTCTTCATGCGCTTCGTTACCGACGGCGTGGTTACCGACACGGGCTTCGAGCTGGTCGTCACGGCCAGGCCGCTGCAGTGCGGCAATCCCTTGATTAAGCTGGATGGTAAACAGCCCCTGGAAATTCATTCGCCGGTCAACGATCAGGGCAACTACGACAACAACATCCTCTGCCTGTGGAAGATCGAGAGCGAAATATCGCTGCATCTCAAATTTGTTAGCCTCGACCTGGAGGCGTCCAATGCGACGGGTAGCTGCGATTCGGACTTTATAAAAATCTACAACAGTGAGGTAAGAACTTAGTCCAGCTTTCGAAATGTCCTAAGAACCAGAAGAAAGCTCGTGCCTTCAATTGAAGGAAATATTCCGCATATTGGTCTTGGGCAATGCTCATCTGTTCGTAGGAACGCAATTTGTTTACGAACTCAGCTATACACCCGCCAGATAAAATGTTAAGATAATTCGGATAGATTTGTATCTTTCACAATCTGACGACTATTATTAAGACTAATCCAAACATTTATAGATCGCTTGCTTTAATCTATTATTGGACTCTGGACAAGTATTAACCAGTCGGTTGTACCCAACCAGAGAGTTTTTGGTTTTTTCTTTTCGAGAATTGCCGGAGATAGTGTAAATATGGATTTTAGATTCCTACAAACAAGGATTGAAAATATTCTCCATAAAGAACCTTTTCTCGGTTCTGATAATTTAAAGTGAAATCACACTGTTAATTGGAAAAGATTCATCGCTTGGAACTATGCATTAAAATCGGTTTGAAATTAACAATGAAAACATTATTATATTAAAAGTACAAGATATATATTATATTATATTATAAGTACATTCTATCAACTTAGATACTTAAATACTAACACTAACCTGGGATTGTGTACTACATTAGTTATTTTCCATTTTGTACACAGGATGCACAGCTGGTAGAACAGGGATATGGCAATGAGGTGATCTTTAATGGGCAGAAGCATGTCCAGTTCTTCCTCGACTATGCCACGGAGCATGTATATTGTGGCAGCGGCTTGCCCGATGACTACTATCCCAACTCTAAACAGGTGTACATCAAGTTCCGTACCAATGGAGCCGTAACGAGGCCCGGCTTTAGAATGCTCATAGTGCCAGATGCGAGCTGTCAGTATAGCTATGGCGGTCTACAGGGACGTATCAAGATTTCGGAGAGTACCGATTGCGATGCACAAATCGTGGCTCCAGCTAACTACACAATTAGTCTTTACTTTGCCGAGGTGATCTTTGGCTCAGCCGATTGTAATGTGGAGTACGTTGAAGTCTTCGACAAGACCACCAACAAGTCGCTGCAGCGTGAGTGCGCTTACCTGGACCCGGGCAAGAGCCTGTTTACCACGACCAACGAGCTGCGGCTGCACTTTAAGACGGGCAGCTTCTTCAATAGCTTCGACGTGACGTACATCGCGTCGCCCGTCCAGGACGGACCCGGCTGCGGTGGCAAGCTGTACAACACCGAGGGCATATTCGCCAATCCGTTTTATCCGCAGAATCTGCGCAATAATTCGGACTGCCGCTGGAGCGTGCGGGTGCCGAGCAACACGCGTGTCCTGCTCAATTTTGAATGTGAGTATGCTACTCCATAGCTTCCCAATGCTGGGCCATATATATACATATGTATATTCTTGCAGTTTTCAATCTTGGCTCGAAGGCCACCTGTCACACGGACTATCTGCTTATTCAGGAGGGGGACGAACTTGGCAACCTTCAGGAAATGCGAAGATTCTGCGGCGGGGATAGGCCCCGCGTCTACCTCAGCAAACGTAGCCAGCTGTATGTGCGTTTCCACAAGTCGGTCAACTATGACGGCATCGGCTGGGTGATCAAATTTGCCGGCGTCTATGAAAACTATGAGATACCAATACATATGCTAGAGTAGTCGTAGACCCGATGCTGATTACAGATACATATAATGAAAACTTATCCAATTAACTTTCCGTTTCCATATAAATATTTGGGCAAATACATATTTTTTTTTTAATTTTATTGAATATACTTTAAATTAGTTATCTATAAAATAATTACTATATATAATATAATATAGAATTTTCATCTTTGTTTCCTTTCATCATCGCCTTTTCTCTAAAAACACAAAAAGTGAATTAAAAAAAATTACTATGAAATAAAACGCACAATTCACGAATATGTTTTCTTTCTTATAATTGTTGCTGCGCTCTTGCATTTAACTATTAATATACAGTAAACGAAGAAAAAAAAAAGTAATGTGGTATAAGGTTATTTAAATAAGAAAATTACTTTTACGCAATTGTTTAATGGTAATAAAAATAATAAAGGGCGCTCAATTAACCGTAATTATGATAAATTAATTATTCAATTTAACAATTAACTGACCACACAGAAACACTTTGCCTAATAAATACATAATGCATACTTAACTGTTGCTCAACTTTATGCATATATCTCTTGAATGCAAAAAGAATTAAAAAAAAAAAAATTATAATCACGCCAAGCTAGTGCCTAGGGTCTGGGCCTTGAAATATATATTATATGTACAAAAACCGATTTGGGTTCAGAAGTTTGCAACTATAAACAAGATAAGTATATACCGAAAGAGAGGAGTTGGAGTTGTGGAGCGAGTGAGGAGAGGTGCAATAATTAAACATAGGCATTAGGTGCGTATGGGGCGGGGTCAAAACTCAAAATATGTATATAATTTCTGATACCATATAATAGTCAAGTTTTCATATTTAAGTATGTTCGGGGCATATCTATGTGGCTCCCAGGCGACAATTATGTAATGAACACGAACACGCATATAATAAACATTTTCTTTTTTTCATTTCTGCCGTTTCTTAGCTCGGTGCTGATAACATTCTCTATATAAAATGTATATGTATAGTATGTAAATGTATTGTATGTATATATTATGTATGCATTAACTCTTGAACAATCAATTTTCATCTATCCACTACCATTTCGCGAACAACTGCGACTACCTTCATATAATAATATTCATCATATTTTGGTTATAATTAATTAATGCATGAACTATGCTATGAATGCATTTGCTGTATGTGAATCATGTAACAAACAATTACCAAATGGCGCTCAACATTATATATATATGTATGTATATAAATACGATTTAAATCATTCAGCTACAAATTCACAATCCAATTAAAAAATTATCAACAAATATTGCTGAATTTTCTGCGCGCTGATTATTTTTTTTCGCCTTTTTTTTTGTTTTTTGGTATATAAAGTTTTTAGTTGTATAATTTGTATTATTTAATTTATGCTATGCAGACGTTAAATTTGTCCTGAATTGACGTATTTGAATTCGTTGAAACATGTGAAACGTTGCCCATCGATTTTAACAAACTACTACACACACAAACACACACGTTCACGCACACACACACACACGCACAACACAACGACTGATATGTCTCAAATCATTTACTTTTTGTAATTTCAATTGTTCTTTCAATAACTTGCAAGTTGCAACCTAAGCGCATTCTCAACTATGCTCTTCATCTCGGTCTCTCTCTCTCTCTCTCTCTCTCTGTCACTCACGCACACACACACTCACCCTCTCTCTCTCTCTCTCTTTCGCTCTAGCAATCTATCTCTTTCCTTTAACATCTCTGTCTGTCGCGGGATCAGTAATCATTAATTTAACCGTTAACCGTGTGCTGCCAAAGACAACGGCAACTCTTACGAAATACACGATATATATCCATCTACATATGTATATACCTATGTATTTATAGATATATTTCCAGATAAACTTAAACAGTATTTAGGTTACTTGGGAAATCGGCTGGGTTAGTGGTACAGTGGTACAATAGTGTGGTACAGTGGTTGTTTTTAGATCAACTAGGCGCTATATAACATTAACTAAGAAACTCAAAATCAAACAAAACTTCCGAGCACGCGCAGGCGTCGGCGTTGCGGCTTACAGTTGCAGCTGCCACAGCGGCAGCAGTAGCAGCAGCAGCAGGATCAGCTACAACAGCAGCTGCAGCAGCAGCCCAGCTAGGGGCTGGCTGACCACGCCTACACGTTCAGGCACTGTTACATGCAGCAAAGGAAGCGGTGAAAGAAACTTTTGGCATTGCGGCGCGCACGGCTGGCCCTTAGCTAACAGATGATGCCCTGGTCCAAGCTCAGGTTGTTGGTGGCAGCAGCAGCCGCATTCTTGGCGGCAATCACCACATGATGATGATGGTGATGATGATGATGGTGCATATGATGATGATGCAAATGATGCGCTGCCTGCGGCAATCGTCCATTCAACAGCAGCGCCGTGCTGCTGCCAGTTGCTCCCGTGGGTCCCGAGCTGCTGTTGCAGCTGCTGCTGCTGCTGCTGTTGCTATTGCTGCTGCTGCTACTGGAAATGGAGTTTGGGCTGTTGTTGTTGCTGTGCTGTTTCTTGTGGACAGCGGTTAGCGGCTCAGAGGCGCGTCGTCCACCGTGGCTGCTGCTGTTGGCGCTGTGGTTGCTGCTGCTACTGCTGCTGGCAGTGCCGCTCACGCTGCGCCGCATGTTGCTGCCACTGCTGCTGGTTGCTGGCAACACAACGCTGGGCACGGAGCATTTGCGCGGCTGCTGAACCTGTAGTTGCGTCGTGATCGCTGACGCATGGCTGCTGTTGGCGGAGCTGGAGCAGTGCGGCAATGTGTTGTTGGGTGAGCTGTGCGCCTCGAGCTCCTCCAGTTGAAATTTCTTAACCAGCGCCTTGACCGACGTGGCCGAACTGGCCTCCGTAGCGGGCGTCTTGCGTATGACTTTGGGCGTGGTGGGCGCATCCGGGAACAACGCCAATGTGGCAATCACTGTCGTCTCTTCCAGCCCATTGCTGCCAATCTGTATTGTGGCCGTGCTGGCCACCGGCTTCTTAACAAATGTCGCCGTATATGTGTTCTCTTTATCCGAATCGGAGGCGCGTCGCGTTGGTGTCACAATCTGTGTGGGCTTCGTCGATGCAGTAGCAGTCGTGGTTGTCGCCAGCGACATGGTCAGTGCTTGGGGCAGTGTGTGTATGGCTGTTGTTGTCTCTGTGCTGGGGCTCAGCTTGTGGCTAGTGGAAATAGGTATCTTGGAGCTGGAGTGTGCTCTATGCCCGTTGTGCAGGGATTTGCTGGCTGTTGTTGTTGCTGCTGTTGTGCTGTTTTCTTGCTGTTGTTGTTGTTGCTGCTGCTGCTGCTGTTGCTGTGAAACGTTCTGTGCCTCTTCCTCATCATCTTCCTCCTCCTCATCCTCGTCATCATCGTCTTCATCCTCATCATCCTGCACAAAGTCGGCATCGTTCTGTGCTTGCAAATAGATTTGTCTGTGCAAAGAGCACTCATCCTTTAGCCAGACATGCTCAAGGCAGCCGGCGGCATTCATGCGATCGCTAGAACGGAAGAGAGGGAGAGAGAGAGAACGAGAATTAGTTAAAGATTCTCTACAGAATTCAAGATTCAACTGTACTCACTTTGGCTTAATTCGCAATGCGCGGCGTATGAAATCAATTGCCGCCTGAGAGACGCCGCCAAAGAGATTGTCGGGAAAGGTCAGAGCGCACTGTGAGATATTGAGGAAGGTCTCCTGCTTGGTGTCGCCGCCAAAGGGCGAGAAGCCCGATAGCAGCACATAGGCCAACACGCCCACCGACCAAATGTCGGTGAGCAGCGATAAGGGCTCATATTGGAGCACCTCCGGTGCCACATAATCCGGAGTGCCGGCCATTTCGCGCACATTGATGCCCTCGCAGACGACGCGCGAGATTCCAAAGTCGCACAGCTTGAGGCCATCTGTAAACAAAAAGGGGAAGCGCAGCGGCTTGTCAGGGAAATCCTCAATTAGTTGGGCACTCAACTGATCACTCACCCTCAATGCGTTCGCCGGCTAACAAGATGTTCTGCGGCTTCAGATCCAAATGCGCAATGGAACGGTCATGCAAGAACTTGAGAGCCTTCAGCACTTCCCGCATGCAGTGGCGCGCCTGCGCCTCGCTGAGGCACTCCTCGTTGTCCAGTATCGTTTGCAGCTCGCCGCCAGTGGCCCTAATAGTGAGAGAAACGGAATGAGCATATTTTATTTTTGCCTGGTATGTGTATATCAGCTAGCTAGCTACTATTAACAAGTTCTGCCCGGACCTAATCCTTTTCGTACAATTCTTTCAATTTATCACCCATTTTCCATCCGTATGTGTGGATTTCAGAAATCAATTGAATTCGTGTTGCTTTATTTGTTCTGGAAACCTTTCAACAAAGTAATTAAGGCAGACTGGACGATATAATATTGGACCCAAATCAATGATAGGATAAAAAATAAAACAAGAGGGATCCGACCGTTTATAGGAGATTCATTTGATACGGTCGTAGACGTCTCCTTATATGAATTACTTATTGCATGATGAACTTTTGGTCAACTGGTAGCTCAATCAGTCAGTCAACAAAAAAAAAGACTAACCCAATTCTAGGCCAGCACATGATCAAACAGTCCGGCAATCAATCAGTGAGTCAGTCAATCACTCAGTCAGTCAGCATAAACAGTTTTAGGGAAAAAGTGATATTAACAGCACCTATGGTCTGTTGAAGAAACTGAACCTAGTCAAATACTTAGGTAATCAATCGATCAGTCAGTCAGTCAATCAGTCAGTCATCCGAAACAGCGTTACGGTAAGGGGTAACATCAGCTATGCGACTGTTAAAGTGACTGAACGCAGTTCATGCGCAGCGCATTTGTGATTGTTTGAATATTACGTCAATCACTTAGTCTGTCAATCAGTCAGTCAGAATTTAAAGCGTTACGGAAATAGTAAACTGTTAACATGATATATGCGTATGTTAAAGGAACTGAACCTAATCATTGCCTAGTGCATTTGTGTGTGCGGCCAAATGGTAAGTCCATCAGCCAATCAGTCAGCCAGTCAGTCAGTCAATCAGTCAGTTAGTTATCTGTCAAACAGTTCTGGGGAATAAGGTACCATCTGCCATGATCAATCAATGATCTGATTGATGCATCCCACTATTAATATTATTATTGTTATGGTTATATACTTACAGCTCCAGCAGCAGGGCCGTGTCGGAACGCGTCTCATGCACCGCATTCAGATTGACAATGTTGTCCTCGCCCTCGCATAGCATTAGGACGGCAATCTCGTGCTTGATCTCCTTGTCGCTGCTCTGTGCGCGTCGGCGTCGCTTGAGGAATTTGGCAGCGAAATGCAAACCGGTATTCTTGTGTACCGCCCGGCGAACAGCCGCAAATTTGCCCCTGCAATAATATAGAAAAGAGAAAAAAAAGAAAAAAGAGAGACAACGGATTAGTTTTGGCTAGCAAACCAGACCAGCTGCAGTCGGTCTGCAATTGGCAACGGGCAACTGGCGGCCCACACGCGCCTCTAGTTTCATTCATAAAAGACTGCCCAATTGTCGGCCAGCGACATCCATAGCCATGAGACATCCCAACGTGACTCAACGACTCATCGAAGAGCGGAATGACAACAAGGCTGGCTACGAAACGGTAGGGGAGAGCACGGGTGGGACGACGTCAAAGTCGCGTCGTCGAAACGCCTTTGACAAAGTACGTGCCATAATGAAGCAATTGCGCTTCCGGCAAACACTAACAACAACAACAACAACAACAACAACAGCGACAAATCTGGCATACCAAATAAGTCGGTAAGTAGTTAGCCAAGCCCCAGCTCCAGCCCCAGCCCCAGCCCCAGGTCCAACTCCAGCTCCAGCTGCAGCTGCAGCTCGGGAGCCACGACAGACAGCGCCAAAACAAGCTGAAGACGCATCACGCAAGCCTCCATCCAGGCAAAATCTCTTTCAACGGGCATGAGGAAGAAACAGTACAGCAAAGGCATAAAACTATTTTTTACCCTACATATTTCGCGCTTAATAATCTTCCTAATTCTTTTCCGAATTACTTTTAAAATGTTTTTTTCGAACTGAAAATTGTGTTTCTGAAACTATTTTTATACCAGAAATTTAATATCAATTCTTATATTTTAGAAAATGTTAAATTTTATTATATTATATTTTATTATATTTGTAAAATTGTTTACATAATTTTTATATATGTTTCTCAAATTTGTTAGAGTACAAAGACTTGAAGTTCATTTATTTCCAGCATAAGAAATAATAAAGTTTTGTTTTACCCAATAAATCAAAGATTTTACAATTAAAAAGTTGAATTGAAATTCAAAAGCTGCGCCAAGAGCAATATGCCCAGCTGTTAGTTGGGGTATGCCATAAAGAACGATATAAGGCGCTGGGCTGTCGTCGCCTTCACACGGACTGGTTTCTAATTGTTGCCTGCCCCTCGTCCACCCCACCCACCCCCCACTCCCGACCACATTGACAGTCAACGGACAACGCCGAGCTGTTGGCTGCCGCATCTCCTGCAGCAACATTCACAAATTGTCAAATGTGTCGCCACTTGAGGACAACGTTCGCTGCTGCGGTTGTGGCCATTAAGGTGAAATATTTTTTCGAGCTTGCCACGCACCGAAGATGCATGGGAGACACGAGCACAAATCCAGGAACCAGGAACCAGGCACCAGGCACCAAGCACCATGCGTGCGGATTGCGTCTATATTCAATTAGCGCCAGCAACATTTGCATCTGGCTTTGGCAACATGTTGCCAAGCCTTCCTTCCGTCAGCATTCCGTGCTGGTTGCAGGTGCATTTATACACATCTTTTGTGTTGTTGCCTGTTTTGTATTTATATTTTATTTTTAATTTAATTACAATATTTTTTCTTCTTCTTATTCTCTTTTTTTATTCATCTTTTTTTTGCAGCACTGCGACTAATTGGGCAAGGTCTTCAGTCTTGTTGTTGCTGATCGGTCATAAAGCTTAGTGGCTCGCTGTTACGTAAGGCACGACTTGAAAGTTGTTGTTGTTGTTGTTGTTGCCAGATGACGCAGCTGAGCTGTTAACTGGAGATGTGACCAGAGGCTGGCTGCGAGGGTGAGGCGTGGGCGTGCAGCAGTTCTTAGCAGAAGCAACAGCAGCTGGTTAGTGAACTTTTAAAGGTTAGTCTAAAAACCTTGTCACAGGGCGCATTCTGGCTAACGGGCCAATTGTGCATGCATATATGTGTGTATTATGTGTGTGAGTGAGTGTGTATGTGTGTGAGTTCATGGTTGGTCAACGTCGCTGTGCTGTGCTGTGCTGCGCTATTTGGCCGGCCACTCCCACGCGCATTGCCCTTTTTTAATGGTTCATTAAATCGCGACAACGATATAAGCCTCACAAACTGTGGAGATCATAGGCAAAATAGTGCTTAAAAATAGTCGTAATATGGGATTCTCTTGTGTTGCCCTGCGAGTTTCTATAATCAAAGTCGAATATTTGTATTTACTAAAATTAATTTAAATTTACATTATAATTAAAATATGCAATATTATTTTACAATTTTTATTATCATAATACTTGTAATTATAATAATAATAATTGAGGTTATCCAACTTAAAAGACAGTAGACACGAGAAGACAACAACCCATATTTAGGTTTTTATCAACAAACGTAGCCGAAATGCTCCACTGTGCTTGTGCGGCTTTTGGTCAAGTGTGAATTTGAATATCGAGCGGCTTCTAAAATGGTCAGCTTTGGCAGCGACAGCGATCGATCCGAGCGAGATTCAGATTTGGGAACCATCAGCTATATCGATCTGAGTCGGTCTTTTGGCATTTACTGGCTGGGCAGAGGCACATACAAGGCATTGGTTTGGCTCCATCTATGTGACGCACAATTCTCAATTCGCCAAAACGGAGACGACCAAATATGGTGGCGTTTAAAAACGCTCACAAAACGCGCGGCGCGTGCACGTGCCTAATCGGCTTGCTGGTATTGGCAGGGGTAGCGGAAAGTGCGGGCGACGGCGAGGGGGGGGGGGGGGCGGTAGAGGTACAGGTATTAGAGCGACAGCGGGGGTGGTAAAAAGATTGAGGCAAGCTGCTTCAATATTTACATTCACCTTTGCCGCTGGATTTCAAATGGAGCAGCAAAATTATTGCACAATTTGCGTTGTTTGTGTTTAGATAGTTTGGTAGGGGAGAAGGGGGTAGGAGAGGGGATATATATTTGACAGACGACTGCTGCTGATGCCGATGCAGATCAAAGCTGTTTAACGGCAGACTTGGAGCAATGGAATGTGAATTATGCTTCTGCTAGCGCTGGCTAAAGAAAAGCCACGACTGGGCTGGCTATCCGATAGGAGTATCGGGACGATTGCAATCGATCGTTTTCTAATTTCGCAAAAATGGGTGGAAACTTTAATGACTCAAGCAATTAACCTGCAATTTTTTGCTGGTTTTAAGTAACTTGACGCAAGTAGCTGGTCACAATCCTTTAGAGATGCTATTAAGTGGTTCCCAATTAGAAACTAAACAATGGAAATAAGCTTTAATATCGATAAATATCGGTTCTGAAACAAGGTTTTTTAAGCCTAGCTCGAAGACAATTCGAGCTGGGGACACGAAATTTGAGTTTATTCTCGTGTAGCACATGGAGATTTAAAATATTTTACATTTTCGATACGTCACACCTCACGCTACAGTTTCGGGCTTTGGACAGTCAGCTACCATATTTGAGGCCAGTTATTTAATCTATCATTTTCCACAGTGCGTGTCGAAATGTGTCCAACTTGTAGCCTGACGCTGGCTACAGGATATTACCTAGTCGGGCACTTTAGACTAGAGCGCTCTTCTGATATTTATTCCATCTCGCTGCGATGGTCTATTCGATAGTCAGCCGTTTGGCCTTTCGCTCAATTATTCAAGTGATGCGTTGGTTGCGTCTTCCTATTCGATTTGTTTGTTTACTTTCTCAATTGAGTTTAGCTCCCCGTCCCCTTTTGAAGTCTGGGCCTGGTGAGGTCTTTGATTTGCTGCTATTAACGAATGCATCTTTATTTTGATTTTGCACGGACCACCAATTGAGCCTATTTTGGGCTTCTTGTGTGCGGATCAGTTTTCGGTTATGGGCAACAACAAAAATTACAAAATTAAATGCATTTTGCAAAAATACGAGAGTTGCACAATGCCGATGGCGCCCACACAACAACAACAACAACAACACGAACAACGACAATGTCAAGCTACGCAAATTTGTATTGCAAATGAGACAAAAAAAAAATAAGATAAATTACAATAAAATAAAAGTTTGTTAACAAGGTGCAAATTACTAGGCGGGTGTTGCAGTCGAGTAGCCAAAAGGTAAGCAACTTGCAGCTCCAATTGCCCAAAAGCGGCAGACGAGAAGAGAGGACAAGGTGAGGTGAGGCACAGCCGGAGCGAAGGTGAGAGAGACGTGTGCATCAATTTAGCTGACGACTGTTCCGTGTGGGTGAAATGCATTTGCTAGTTGAAAAGTGCACTCAGTAGCATTTACTGTGCATTTCCCCCCAGCCCACTCCCCTACTCTTCTCTTGCCGCACTTCAAACACTTCCACACTTCTAGCTAACAATAACATTTTGCAGGCTTTGCTGCATTTTAACAACAGCTGAAGAATCTTGCCTTTGACAGACGACGATGACGATGACGACGATGTTGATGTGGTATGGATGTGGATGTGGATGTGGATGTGGATGTTGATGACAAGGATGCGGATGACGACAAAGTGCGGTTAAAGTGCTTGCCGCATGTTGTTGTTGTTGTTGCTGCTGCTGCTGCTGTAGCTGCTGCTTTTAGTGCAACCGGGTGCATTGAACCGCAGAGTGGCCGCGAGTCGCCTCAAGTCTCGTGTGTGAAGTGCAGTCGAGTAAAATCATCTGGCGGCTGTCAGCCAAGCAAATAGTTGCCCTTAAGGTGACTAACTATATAGACATGGACAGTCTCTGGCGCAGCGTCGCCCATTTGATGCCTGCTCACTAATGTGACAATTAAATTGCCCAGACCGTGCCACATGACGCACATTACCATCGCTCGGGCACAAGCGCGTTTCTTGGCGCTCAAAATGTGTGCAACATATTCAATAGAGCATCAAAACACAGTTAAACTTGAAAAAATCTAAACCTTTTTTTTTCACGGGGATTCGATCCTCAAGCTTAAGCTTCAACCTTTTTTTGCATGAAGTTTCTGCTAGATACAGTCATCCCTGCCTATGACGAATGCACTTTAGTTTTCAAGTTGATTTCAAACAGAATTTTATCGCTGCCATTCTTGGTAACTCAGATGTAAGCTAGTTGAATTCCCAATCTAAATTTGAGTACAGTCGAAACTCGAGCCAGCTGATCATATATTTTGGTACATATTTATA